TTAAAATTAAAATAATACATTATTTAAAAATTTAAAGTATAGATTATATACTTATTTTTATATATATCATTTTATATTTTTTAAATTTAAATAATAAAAATATAATTAAATTTTATCAAAGTACTTACATGACATTGCTTCATATCCATCCATATCTTTAATGAGCTACCCCCTTTGGCAAATAGAAATCCCATACTTAAAATTGGTCTCTCTTTTTAATCAAATTGATGGAAACAACCAATCAATTTTGGACCTCACTTTACCACTACTTTTCTCACTTCGTTTGCACTCAAAGTCATGCATTAGTGCTTAATCAATTCACGTTATAGTTTGGGGGGAAAACAATTCTTTTTTTTATAATATCATCTGTGGCTGGATTCCCGAAAACTCCTTTCCTTTCATTTTCCTTCCATCTTTTCCCGACTTTTTCAGTTTTGTCTCCTTCAGGAGCCTCGTATTTTTAGACTTGCGGCCTAGGGGGTTAAGCAATGAAATACCAAAATAAATAAATTAAAAAAAAAAAGGAGTTTGGAAAAAGAATATAAAACAAAATTCGAAGGATAGAAATAAGAATTTTAGCGGTTCAAAGAGGATTTGTGGTAGGGACATTGTTCACCGACAACAACGTAAGGGATGGGAATCAGCTTAAATCCCAGTGCCCAAAAGCTGACTTTTGGGGATCCCACTTTCCTTATGGACAAAGGCACATTGAGCAGACAACACGTTGTAAGGGAATATCCTTGGCTTCATCCACCAAATTTTCTATCTTTCATTTATAAGTTTTTTTTTTCTTTTTATATGATATTTTTTTATTTATGAAAATAGAAATTTGAATCTAATTTTTTAAGTGAGAAATTTGAAGAACCACAAATATGCATAATTGATCTTCTATTACTCACGAAAGAAGCACAGTGGCAATGCAAAGCTTTTCTTGAGCTTCAAATTTCTGTTGAATCATGAAATCATGCCTAATTAAACAAAAATTATTTACGGCAAAATCTCAAGTCAAATGTCAGCCTGAAAAAAAAAATTTTCTGGATGCCATATTCAAGTAAATAACGGTACTTAGATATTAGCAACTGATTTTTTTAAGGAATTAAAATGATAGTTTTAATTAATTATATTAAAATCAAACCAATGGAGATTATTATATGTGAATAAGATCTAATATTCCATCAACAATTATATGATTTGTTGATAAAATGTTAAATTTTTTGTATAATAATTAAGGGTTCAATATGTGGTCACCATTATTACCAAAAAAAAAAAAAAAGGATGTCTAATATCATCTATGATAATATGATTAATTAGACAGGCCAAAAAATACCCAACTCGGTTCCTTTAAAATTCAACTAAATATAAACTCTATATCGTGATCATTTAATTCTAACCATTTTTTAATTAAATTTTTGCAGAGCTTTCTATGTCTCAACAACCCTTTGATTAAAAAAACCTTAGAAAAATTTTAATTGTCATACATTTGATCAGAAGGGTATAAATTTTTAGGACAACAAAATTAACAAGATAATGTTTCATTGGTTGGAAATTGAAGGTTGTTAAGATATCATGATCTCAGGCATTGAAAATTCGGACTAGGAAAACACTTTCTTTCTCTAGTTTTTCTAGTGTTTGTTGAGCTTTGCTGTACAGTTCAACAATTTTAATCCTATAGTGCCCTATAGAAAGTGGATTTCCATTCTTTTTATTTCGTGCTCCAAGGGCAAAGCTCTTTGCATTGCTTTCTAATTATTTTATTTCCCATCTTTTTTATTACTTTTTGTTCTTTTTTTTTTTGTGGCGGCTTAATTATTAATCTGGTTTCACATTCTTCAGTCTTGAATGTTGAAGACAAAATTTTCCCTGTGAAGACCTGTTCAAAGAGACAAGAATGGTTCCACAAAAATGAACTGGAAATTGGAGAAAAATTTAGATGTTCATCACACATGGTGGGCTCACTGTGAAATTTCCAAGCAAGACTAAAATTTATTGACTTTCATTCAAGACATACAACTCTTGGCTGGCCAACCACCCTAAATTTAGAGGGTATAGCCCTCCTTGTTCACTTTGATATAGTAAATTATTAATAGTACTAGAGTTAGTGCCATTTGTGACATTACTTGAATTAGCTAGCTTGGTTGGTGAAATGTCAAGAAAGAAACAATAATTTAGTTTGAGAAAGAGATTAAAAAACTCTTTCTTGCGAAATATTATGGAGGATATGAAAATCTGGGAATCTTTTTTTGTTTGTTTTATCTGTTATCTAAAATTAAAATAAATGTTAGGTGCTTTTGATTCTTCAGATTTGGTTGTGGTGTGAGTCACCCATGACCTCATTTCTTTTTCATTTCTCTTTCTATAAAGCAAAATCTTTCATTCAAACTACAAATAGCTTAATTGTTAGAGCTAGTAATATGTAGTAAAAAGAAAGAAAGAGCAAAATTATGATTAATTTGTTGCAGTTAATTGGTGTCGGTGCTATCAGGGATGGCAGATTTGTGTGTTTGGACCAAAATTTTGCTTATTCCCAGCAGCCCAAACTTGCATATCAAGTCAATTTTAAATTATTAGTATATTACTTAACTGATCAAATTTCATAATTGTTTAATCGCATGTACAAGCACAGCCACTACCATAATACCATCCATGCCTTCAGGCTAGGAGTCATTTTCACATAGAATGCAATTTTTCGTTAAATTAATAGTTCTAATTGAATTGCTAAGGTAAATATTAATTAATCCTTTTTATTTTGACTTTTTATTTTATTTAAAAAGATGTCGCTGTTTATAAAAATAAATTGCAGATATTAAAATTTAAAATTTAAATTTGCTGAATTTCATCTCTAATTGCTACTCATAATACATTAAACTGCATAATAAATTAATTGATATATATATATTGTGATAATTGAATTTAAAACTCCAAATTGACTTATTCAAAACATTGTCTTGCTATGCAAAAGTAGGAAATGAACAAATTGTTTCTTTTACAATAGAAGGGAAAAAATGAGACTAGTTTCTTTTTTTTTTTTAAATATAACCCAATTTTCCTACATTTATAAAAAGTGATATCCCATCTTCAATCTATAATATAGTATTTTTTCAAAAAGAAAAAAAAACCCATAATTATATAGAATTAGCCCTCTCCCTTAACTGATAAAAAATATATAATGCCTCCCAAAACAGAATGAATATTGAAGGAAATTTTGGAATTTCACAGAGATAATTCATTAAAAAAAGAGAGAGAAAGGTAAAGTGAGAAGCTTCAAACCCAAGTTTGAAAATTGCCTTTTATGATAACCTTAAATGATCAAAAAGTAAATATTAATTTTCTCTTTCAAATCGATGTGACCCAACCTTGCATTAAAATAAATAAAATAAAATGAATTTTTATTGGTTCAAATTTTATCATTAGAAATTCATTCTGTATATGACGAATCATTATCAGTTTGATTCATGAACATATTTAATTTTTACGCAAAAATAAATATATTTTTCGATATTTCGACTGTCTAAATATTTACAAATGATAATTGCTGCAGATTCACAGATTCCTTTACCCCTCCCATGACGTTAGGCTCTGGGTGGTAGCAAAGAGAGAGAAAGAGTGTATATTCTGGGACCTCAGAGGAAGGTGGTAGGCCAAGCTGGAAGCTTCCCTTTCATGATGTCTATGGGTCCGGGAATCCAATGGAAACGTGTAGCTTGGACTTTTCCTCCCTATCCAATCAAAATTAATCACATCCAACGGTGATCAAAGCAGCACTTTCTATTATTTTACATAGTAACTTTGTGATTAAGGATTGTCGAATGTTGATAATACAGCCAAAAGCTCAATAATTCATAAAGTCATATCTTTTTTATCATATCGAGTCCCAACTCACTTAAACTTTACTTTCTTTTTCCTATATAATTTGTTTTCTTACATTTTTTTTCTCTTACCTTTTTGGCTTTCTAAGTTGATTAAGAAAAAGGGGAGCTCGCCTTTATTGACTTGACAATCACAATTTAGGGGTTATTTATAGAGTCTAATTTGTAGAATTTATCACTAACTTATTGCAAAAACTTTTACCTTTTAATCTCCATATTCAAAATAATTTTTTATTATTCATTTCAATAAATAGCAATAATCTAATTTAATTATGTTAGTATATTTTCATCATTGTAATTTTTTTTCTATTTTTTTATTTTGGATTTGCCATTAAAAAATATTTTAAAAAGGGAGTAAATTTGTTATAAACATTGTTTTATGGCAAACTGAAATATATATAGCTAAGGAAAAATAAAGTGAAGTACTATCAAAGTAGGACAATAAAAAGGATGGTGATCACCAATAATTTGAGATTTTTTTTTCCTTTTTGGCTAAAGAGATGTGTCTTTTAAAGCTGGCTTCTTTGTATCCCGCTTTTGTTCATCTAAGGAAACGCAATTGAAACACTTTTCTCAATCATACAAAGTAGATAAATACAATTGGCTTCTTGCTTGCTAAGTAGTTTGGCAAGCTTAGCTTGTTAAATCAAAAGCAAATGGTTTTCCATAAAACTTTTGTATAACCATCTGCCACTAGGAGTCTTCATTATTAGTATCATTTTCTACTTTTACATAATATAATACAAAATCAACTTCATATTGATCATTATCACGTCAACTAATTTACCCAACAATTTTTTTAATTATTCTAAAATTTTGAAATTAATCATTATTTTATTATACAATTAAATAAAAAATAAGCAATAAGTATTATTTAAGTAAATATCTTAAATTTGACTCATAAGGTTATTTAAAAAAAATTCATAAAAATTTTAAATATATTAAATACGATTTTCTAAATAATTTCATGAAAGAGTTAAATTTTGACCTAAGTCGATTTTTTTAATATAAAAAAATTATTATTTTTTTCTTAGCACTCCCATAAGTACACTGTACTAGAGCTATAACATAGATACAATCGTTGATTCATTTTTCTTTTACTAAAAAATTAAATAAATGAAAAAAACAGATACTAATCAAGATCAGCCCTTCCTGTTTTATTTTATATAAACACAAACACCCCCAACAAGTTCATTTCATTACACAAACAAAAGCAGAGAGGTCCCTCACTCTGTTTGGCTCTTCTTCATTTTCCTCTTTCCTTCTTCCACACATTAAAATTAAACAACCCAACCCTTTTTTCCCGTAACTCTCACCCAAACTTCATTTTCGCTCGCACTTTCTGTACCCATGACGACCAAGGATTGTGGCAATCATGGCAAATGTCGCCGGAAAATCGTCCGAAAAATCATCGCTGGCATTCTAATCTTCAACCTGATTGTTCTCATCACAATCCTTCTCATTTGGGCAATCCTTCGTCCCAGCAAACCCATGTTCATCCTCCAAGACACCACGGTCTACGCTTTCAACGCCTCGACCCCGAATTTCCTCACATCCAGTTTCCAAGTCACCATATCTTCTCGAAACCCAAATGACAGAATTGGAATTTACTACGACAGGCTCGACATCTACGCCACGTACATGAACCAACAAATCACCCTCCGGACAGCACTCCCTCCTAATTACCAGGGTCACAAGGACATCACCGTTTGGTCGCCTTTCATCTATGGCAACATGGTCCCCATCGCTCCATTCTATTCCATGAATTTGGTTTCCCAACAGGCTGATGGGCCTGTTTTCCTGGTGATCAATATTGATGGACGAGTGAGATGGAAAGTTGGAACTTTCATTTCAGGTAGATATCATCTTTACGTTAGATGTCCGGCTTCTATTACCTTCGGGAGCAAAAGTAACGGCGTTATTGTCGGAGAAAACGCTGTTAAGTATCAGTTCGTGACTAGATGCAGCGTTAGTGTCTGAACAGAAAGAAGGCGAAGAAGAAATTAACGCCGTTAAGTTTATCGTTTGTTTTTCTCTATCTTAATCTCTCTCCCTCGTTCTTTTTTTGACGCCGTTAGTTTTTTCTTTTTTTTTTTTAGCAAGGGGAGGAAATTGTACATTTTGCTATAGAATAAATGGAGAGACAGATAGCAAAATTTACAATTAAATAAGTGAACTAGCTGTAGTAATTTTTAATTTCTAAAAGAAATGTGTGATTAATAAGAATTATTTTTCAATTACATAGTAATTGAGCAATTAATTAGTTGTTTACTCTTTATTTCATTTCTTTATCATTTTTTAATTCTTGGATCTATAAATTTTGTTTTTCTTAAGAAAAAGAGAATATTTTCAACCTTGATTGGGGTGTCGGTTCTATTTGTTAATATATGTTTCTTATTTCTTATGATTGACTCCATGTACATCTTGATGACCTGAATTTATTTTTTTTCATTTATTTTAAATTGTAGTTTGTTATTTGAACATGAGTTAGGGGGTTTTAATCGTCTTTGAGTATAAAAAAAGGGTTGAATCGTATTTGTTGAGGTGTAGACAAATTTTTGGAAATATTTATGCAACATGCACCAATAGGGCAATAGCAAATGCAATTCAATCTTTTTTAATTTATTATAAAAAATTTAAAAATCCATTAAAAATTTTGATTATTTTTTGGATGAATTAATATATCATTAAAATTGATATTTAAAAATTATAAATTCATAAAAGTTTTAAATATATTAAATATGATTTTTTAAATAACTTCACGAAGAGTTAAATTTTGACCAAGTCATTGTTTGTTAATATAAAAAAATTATTATTTTTTTCTTAGCACTCCCACAAGTACACTATACTAGAGTTATAACATAGATACAATCATTGATTCATTTTTCTTTTACAAAAACAATTAAATAAATGAAAAAAAACAGATACTAATCAAGATAAGCCCTTCCTGTTTTATTTTATATAAACACAAACACACCCAACAAGTTCATTTCATTACACAAACAAAAGCAGAGAGGTCCCTCACTCTGTTTGGCTCTTCTTCATCTTCCTCTTTCCTTCTTCCACACATTAAAATTAAACAACCCAACCCTTTTTTCCCATAACTCTCACGCAAACTTCGTTTTCACTCGCACTTTCTGTACCCATGACGACCAAGGATTGTGGCAGCCATGGCAAATACCGCCGGAAAATGGTCCGAAGAATCATCGCTTGCATTCTAATCTTCAACCTGATTCTTCTCATCACAATCCTTCTCATTTGGGCAATCCTTCGTCCCAGCAAACCCACGTTCATCCTCCAAGACACCACGGTCTACGCTTTCAACGCCTCGACCCCGAATTTCCTCACATCCAGTTTCCAAGTCACCATATCTTCTCGAAACCCAAATGACAGAATTGGAATTTACTACGACAGGCTCGACATCTACGCCACGTACATGAACCAACAAATCACCCTCCGGACAGCACTCCCTCCTAATTACCAGGGTCACAAGGACATCACCGTTTGGTCGCCTTTCATCTATGGCAACATGGTCCCCATCGCTCCATACTATTCCGTGAATTTGGTTTCCCAACAGGCTGATGGGCCTATTTTCCTGGTGATCAAGATTGATGGACGAGTGAGATGGAAAGTTGGAACTTTCATTTCAGGCAGATATCATCTGTACGTTAGATGTCCGGCTTCTATTACCTTCGGGAGCAAAAGTAACGGCGTTATTGTCGGAGAAAACGCTGTTAAGTATCAGTTCGTGACTAGATGCAGCGTTAGTGTCTGAACAGAAAGAAGGCGAAGAAGAAATTAACGCCGTTAAGTATATCGTTTGTTTATCTCTATCTTAATCTCTCTCCCTCGTTCTTTATTTGACGCCGTTAGTTTTTTCTTTTTTCTTTTTTACACAAGGGGAGGAAATTGTACATTTTGCTATAGAATAAATGGAGAGACAGATAGCAAAATTTACAATTAAATATGTGAACTAGTTGTAGTAATTTTTAATTTCTAAAAGAAATGTGTGATTAATAAGAATTAATTTTCAATTACATAGTAATTGAGCAATTAATTAGTTGTTTACTCTTTATTTCATTTCTTTATCATTTTTTAATTCTTGGATCTATAAATTTTGTTTTTCTTAAGAAAAAGAGAATATTTTCAACCTTGATTGGGGTGTCGGTTCTATTTATTAATATATGTTTCTTATTTCTTATGATTCACTCCATGTACATCTTTATAACCTGAATTTATTTTTTTTCATTTATTTTAAATTGTAGTTTGTTCTTTGAACATGAGTTAGGGGTTTTTAATAGTCTTGTAGTATAAAAAAATGGGTTGAAGCCATCGTGTTTGTTGAGGTGTAGACAAATTTTTGGAAATATTTATACAACATGAACCAATAGTGCAATAGCAAATGCAATTCAATCTTTTTTAATTATTATAAAAAATTTAAAAATTCATTAAAAATTTTGATTATTTTATGGATGAGTTAATATGTCATTGAAATTGAAATTAAAAAATTATAAATTTGATAAAATTTAAACATATAATATTTTTTTCAATTATGTAATAAAACAAAGGATTTAAAAATAAATTAAAAATAAAAAAATCCACTAAAAATTTTCCATTACCTATCAAACGTGAAGAAAAGAGGTGTCAAATACTACAATTTATCAATAATAGAAGAAAAAAGGTGTCGGTCGTTTTAATTAGTTGATAATCATAAACTTGTTTCCAAAATTTCACTAAGATATAGAATGATTAATTATCAGATAATAGAGATCAAATGATGAATTAATTCTCGTTTTAAATTATAGGATTAATTGAAGAAAGGGGAACACTAGTAGTAGACAATGTGAAGGAATTTGGAAGGAACTGGTTAGGGTTGAATTAGTTGGAATTTTGTGTTGGGTATACGTTAATTAGGATTGGGTTTCGTCTTTTCACACATGGAATTTGAGTGGTGGTCCTTTTCACTCAACACCGGCTCTACACCTAACAATAATAATGGCGTGTTAGAAAGAGACTCGAAATTGTCGACTCTCAATATCAGTCCTTATCCTCTCTAACTTTAATTTAACCAACATTTACCGCACCCTAACACATGTCAATGTTTACTCTATATAATTATTTTTTAAAAATGATATTTAATAATTTTAAATTTTGATATGTGTAATTTATTTTTTTATTTTTAAATTACGATTTACTTTATATAAAAAAATTTCAAAATTCATTTGGAATTTCACAACAAATTCATGGCTTTTCTAATTTGCTTTGTGTTATTTTGTTAAAATTATGTTAAAAAAAAGGTTTGTATAACATTAATCTTGATTTGATTACTTTAATCATTTAAAATCCTTGAACCTTTCTTTTCCATTGTTAAGTGAAAAGAAAATATTAAATTGTCTGTAAAAGTTGTATTATGAATGAATTCAAATAAAGATACAAGTCATTTACTTCTTATGTCATTGTTTCGATCTCTTTTCTTCACTTCGATTGATTTGCTTCTCAAACTAGAGACATGGATGTAATGAAAAATTACAAGTACACAGCGATGAAGGACTACTTTCCATCGCAGTCTATTGTACCGAACGGGTTCTAAATATAGCATTAGAGGGTGGTGCTGCGATGTGATGCCCATTTCTACGAGGCATCAGCCATGTGCGAGCTTGAATTGTTTAATTAATGCCTGACGCCCTATATGTATTATGCAATCAGGGATCATTTGGACTTTAAGGTCAACCACAATTCACATGCAGTTCGTGTAAAGCAAAGCCACCATTGCAGACTTGACAGAACCTTGGATTCGCGCTTAGCCCTTACAACCGACTATTACTACTACCACCGATTCCAAGTCGGCTAGACGCAAGCTACAAATTGACCAATGATGCACTACTACTACTCTCCATCTATTTTATACTGCATACTACTCTCCAATCAATCCCAAAAATTTAACTCAAATTCAAATCCTATATGTTAGCAGATGCATGGACTGAAAAATTAAAAAAAAAAAAAAAAGCAGATGGCTCTGTAAAAGAAATAAATTGGAAAATAACCTATTGTTGATTTAAGTCTTGTTGGGCTAGCTAGGCCACCCTCTTTCCGAATTTGGGTCTTAAATGGCCTTCCTTGTGGCCGCAAAACCAACAATAATACCTTGATAACTTGAAATTCAATTAGGCCCAAATACAATAAAAAGTTCCACCAAAATACTAAAGGACTGAAATCCAAAGGGCAAGACAAACAAGGGCTATTGAGCCCAAATTCCCAATATCAATTAGGTCTGATCTCTTACCCTTCAAACCTGTAGTTACCACATTTTGAAGTTTCCAAAGCTATTCAATATTCATACCGAATCCAGGAGTTAATTAGTTAGTACCCAAATCACTTGAGAGTCTTCTTCACCAAAGAGTTTAAGACAAAATGACTTGTTCAAACCATTTGGGCTAATATAGACAATAGAATAGTATTTATTAATCATACACGTCATTCTCAAAACTTATATCAATCCAATCCAACCATGCAGTTACCTCTCCCCCTAAATCGATAATAATAGACTATTGAAAAAGAAAATGAACTTGAAAGTTTCCAACCAGCATCCACATCTAAATCACTAGTTACCACCCAAAGCACAAACGTAATAAGATAGAAACATTATTTAGAAAAAAAAAAAAAAGAAAAGAAAGATAGAAACATTGAAAAGGAAGTTATCAGGAACCCAATTTACTAATCCATAAAACCTTGGCTGAGCCTTCAAAGTCTTATTGCGCCCACATTTGAGAAAAAAATCCCCCAGAGCAACCGCGTCAATTAACGTGTTCTGACATACCTTTCCCAATTGCGACTCTAAATTTTCCCTCTATATATACATTTTCATTCATTCTTTTCCCTGTATCAAATTCTTCTTCTCTCAACTTCCCAAACCAAACAGATTTTCTCTATTGGTTTCTTGTTCTTGTTCTTTACATGGCTGAGAAACAACCTCACCTTAACGGAGCCTACTATGGCCCCTCAATTCCACCAGCTACAACAAACTACCACCGCCCAGGCCGTGGCTCAGGTTGCGGATGCGCCTGCTGTCTTTTGAAGATCCTCCTTAAAATCATCATCACTGCTGCGGTTGTCATTGGCCTTGCTGTTCTCATCTTCTGGCTCATCTTCCGCCCCAACAGGATCAAGGTCCATGTGACAGACGTCTCACTCACTGAATTCAACCTCACTAGCAACAACACTTTGAATTACAACCTTGTTGTTAACATGACAGTGCGTAACCCCAACAGGAGAATTGGCATATACTATGATCGTATCGAGGCTAGGGCTTACTACGAGGACCAACGATTCGATACGCAAACTTTGAACCCGTTTTATCAAGGACACAAGAACACTAGTTTCTTGAACCCTGTTTTCAGTGGGGAGCACTTTGTTAGCCTTGGTGCTGAGGAGACTTCCAAGTTTAATGAAGAGACGACTAATGGGTTATACAGTATTGATGTGAAGTTGTACTTGAGAATTAGGCTCAAGATTGGCAGGATCAAGACTGGTAGGTTCAAACCCAAAATTTCTTGTGACTTGAAGGTTCCTTTGAGCTCTGGCAATGGTAGCTTGGCTGGTGCTCTTGAAACTACTAAGTGTGATTGGGATTTCTGATCAGCAGGACGGCTCTGATTCATCCTTCGATCGAGTCGTTGATTCTTTTTTTTTTTTTTTGGCTTTTTCCCCAGGAGATATTTATACAGTGGACTTGGTTTTGAGATATATATTATACACTGATTATTACGTTTTGATTATTTATCATTTTTGTTTCATGGGTTACGTTTTGTTACGTTTGTGTGAATAAATAATGAGTTTTAGTGGTTCATTTTCCATCTTGATTATGATTTTGAATTTGTCTTGATCTCTTTTTCCTTAATCCAATAGGATGTTTCTTTCTTTAAATTAGAAAATATAAGAAGCTGATTATTTCAACTTTTAAAAAGTCCATAGCATACGTAGCCTAAAACAAATGGCATTAGAAAATATATGTGGAGGCTTTCAATTGAAAATAGTTGTTGGCAAATTGACAAAATTCAATTAAATTTAATTAATATATGGTGGAGTACTCAACACAAACGTCACAAGTGATAATCTTGCCCCTTGAAAAGGCCTAAAATAAATAAATAAACTGTTATATATTTGACCATATAGCAGAAAAAAAAAAAAGCCAAACAGAAAATAAAAAAACATTAAACAAAAAAAGAAATTGAACAAAGAAAAAAATAACTATAATAGTAGAAGGTTATGTTTCAGAATGTGCAATGAAACCATTCACCCTCTTCGATCTATCAAAAAAACAAAGAAAAAAATAACTATAGTAGTAAAAGGTTATGATTTATAGTTTTGTTCTTTCGCTTTCTCCTCTAATTAAAGTTCCTTATGATTTTCCCTATGTTTACGCTATGGTGCAAATAAATTTTCTTCCAACAGGCTTATCTCCAAGCTCAAACAGTCATTTTCAGGCTAAATGGAATTATTCTATAGCTTAAACGTGGCAAAAGGAGCGTGGCCTTAACTTGGAGTAGACCACGACAAAAGAGTTGACGAGAATGTCTGGAGAATACATAATAATTTAAAATACGATTAATATAGTATAAAAAAATATAAAAATAATATAATTTAAGATTTTAAAAATAGTTATAAATGATTTTAATAAATTTAATAAATTTATTTTATATTTTTATATCAATAAAAATTATAATAAATAATTTTTTATAAAATATGATATAAATATACAATTTTAAATATTTTATATAATATAAATATATAAATTATCAAATTTACATAAAATTAACAACTACATAATAATATTTGAGTATTTGTGTTCACTTCAGGCTCAATCCGAAATACACCCCATCAGTAGGCTACAGCCTACCGGCTAAAGCTGGAAGTTTTACACCTACAAATAAAACAATGGGCTTGGAAAGCCCCTTTTCCTACCAGATAACAACGCAAATGCATTGGAACCCCTTGGATTAAAGTTGGCCTTGCTTCTTTAACTAACTTGATTGTATACAATTTTTTTTTCTAACATTTGGTCGAGGACAACTTGGCAAGAGCAGCAAGTCAAATTTCTTATTCGAACTCTTTTAATTTGGTACGTGTATAAGAAAGATATCATGAGTTCATTTAATATATCATGAGTTCGAGTTGAATATAAATTGAATATAAATATTTTATTATTTAAATAAATAAAATTTATATAAATAAAATAAATTTTTTATTGAACACAAATCAAATTCAAACTATTTTAAAATAAATCAACAAATAAATATATATTCATTTATTTTTAATTTATTTACATATCTACCTAGGAAGCTAAATTCTTTTCTTTTTCAATTCTTTTTTTTTTTTCAACATAAATGCCAAACAAAGAAGTTTTCGCTCTTAACAAAGTAAAAAAAAAAACTATATCATGACTAAAGTAACCCTAGACTTATGAATTAAAAATCAAATTTAACCTCCATAAATATTTCCACTGTCAAAAGTACCCCTCAAATCAACTTTAATATCCTATCCCATCAGGCTAAAAATTGAATTGTAAAATCTCTTAGGACAGGTTTAATATAATGCATTGATACTACTCCCCAATCAATCCCAAAAATTAAAATCAAATTTAAATCGTACATCCAACCTTTCTTAACAAATTAAATAAAGGGACAATATCTACATAATTCTAAAATTTGATTGGTTTCTGCTTCAAGTCTTCCGATTTTCCTACATATATAGTAAATAAATTATATTAAAATCAGAACAATTTTATCAGACAAAATAAAAGGTTCTAATAAGGAATCGTTCCCCTAAATTCTCTCAATATGAGGGAATTTAATTATTCAAGGATATAATATTTTTATGGTTTTGGTGTAGTACTAATGTAATCTTCTTCATCCCACCATTTCAATTAAAGAGTTATCCACAAAGAGGGTATTGCATTCCATCTAAGCATTTGCTTCCCTTTCCCTATTTTCGGATCCCCCTCACTCCAATTAAACAAGCAGATGCATGGACTCTAAAAAATAAATAAACAAATAAACAAAACAGATGGCACCGTGAAAGAAATAAATTGGAAAATAACCTATTGTTGATTCTTGTTGGGCTAGCTAGGACATCTTCTTTCGGAATTTGGGTCTTAACCGGCCTTCCTCGTGGCTGCAAAACCAACAATAATAAGCTGATAAATTGAAATTCAATCAGGCCCAAACACAATAAAAAGCTCCACCAAAATGCTAAAGGACAGAAACCAAAAGGGCAAGACAAACTGGGGCTACTGCGCCCAAATTCCAAATATCAATTAGGTCTGGCCTCTGACTCTTCTAGCTTTAGTTACCACATGTGAAGTTTCCAAAGTCACTTGAGGTCAGGTCTTCTTCACCAAATTTAGAGTTGGACTAAATGACATGTTTGGTGAAGAAGTAAATACTTTAGAGTTGGACTAGAATAGTATTTATTAATCATACACGTCATTTTAAAAATTCATATTAATCCAACCATACAGTTACCTCTCCCCCTAAACCAATAATAATAGACTATTGAAAATGAAAATCAACTTGAAAGTTTCCAACCAGCATCCACCGGAGACCCCAAAGTCTTATTGCGCTCACATTTGACAAAGCAATCCCCAAAGCAGCTGCGTCAATTAACGTGTTCGGACATACCTTGCCCAATTGCGACTCTAAATTTTCCCTCTATATATACATTTTCATTCATTCTTTTTTTACCCTGTATCATACTCTTCTTCTCTCAACTTCCCAAACCAAACAGATTTTCTCTATTGGTTTCTTGTTCTTATTCTTTACATGGCTGAGACACAATCCCACCTTAACGAAGCCTATCCTGTCACCCCAATTCCCCCAGATCCAACAAAGTACCACAGCCCACGCTGTGGCTTAGTTGCGGATGCGACAGCCGTCCTTCGAAGATCCTCCTCAAAATCACCAGCACTGCTGTGGTCGGCACTGGCCTTGGTGTTCTCATCTTCTGGCTCATCTTCCGCCCCCACTGGATCGACGTCCATGTGACAGGCGTCTCACTCACTGAATTCAACTTCATTAAAAACAACACTTTGAATTACAACCTTGTTGTTAACATGACAGTGCATAACCCCGACGGTAGAGTTGGCATATACTATGATCTTATCAACGCTAGTGCTTACTACGAGGACCAACAATTCGATACGCGAACTTTGACCAGGTTTTATCAAGGACACAAGAACACTAGTTCCTTGAACCTTGTTTTCCGTGGGCAGCATGTTAGCCTCGGTGCTGAGGAGCCTTCCAAGTTTAATAAAGAGCCGACTAATGGGTTATACAGTATTGATGTGAAGCTGTACTTGAGGATTAGGCTCAAGCTTGGCAGGACCAAGACTAGTACGTTGAAGCCCAAAATTTCTTGTGACTTGAAGGTTCCTTTGAGCTCTGGCGATGGTAGCTTCGCTGGTGCTTTTGAAATTACTGAGTGCGATTGGGATATCTGATCAGCAGGACGGCTCCGATTCATGTTTTAATCGAGTATTTGATTCCTTTGATTTTGTTTTTTGGCTTTATTCCCAATAGATATTTATACATTGGACTTGGTTTTGAGATATATATTGCGCTAGTGATTTTAGTGGTCTAAAGGAGGTTTTTATCCCCTTGGGTCATTTCCCTATTCCATGGAAATTACAATAAATTACTTTTTCTTTTGCTATAATTAAAAGTATTTTCAAATTTTGCTTTTATTTTTTTTAATTTTAAAGATGCATTATATATTTAAAATTATCAAATATTAAATTATAAACATTAAAATTAAAATTTTATTTAACATTTTATCAATAAATCACATCACTATTAGTAAAATTATATTTTTTTCATATTCACTTATATATTCAAATTTTTATTTTCAAAATTTTTACAAGATTAAATTTTGATTCCTTGAACTTGCACATGAAAGAAATTCTGATACTCACCAATTGCATTAATCTACGTAGATTTTAATAAATTACTTTGATAATTAAGAGAAGCAAATATATTTAGCAGATTCTCCGTTTTAACCTACCATCTCCCAATCCTAGGCAAAGGCCAAAGACTACCCTACCAAAGTGCCCCAGTCTGCAACTGTGTCTTTTGCAGTCTCCGCCATTCCTTTTCCTTTACAGCCCCATTAAATCGTACCATCGTTTTAAATGTTCGCCTCCCCTCTTTACTTCCTTCACCTACACCCCCTTTTCAGTTTTCATCAACCTCAAAAAAAAAAAAAAAATTATACTTACTTAAGTTACTTACTAGTAAAATTAAAATAAATTAATTACAATTACAAATAGAGTAACATACTAATCAAACAACTAATTCATGTTTACAATATAAAGTAAATTTTTTACTAGCCTTCGATTCTTAAACTCAGAAACCCGACTTTCCTTTCTGTCGAAACGTCACTCCGTGGCGAGATTACGTCATCATTTCCCGGTGGCAATATCAAAATCGCAACTTCACGATCAGGAGAAGGTGAAGGAGTGAAGTAAGAAGGCGATGCACACGGGGTTGAGAACGGCGTCGCTTCTTCCTCCACATCAACTACAAGAGAGACGTCATCAGCCATTTCGGCCCCACCAGAAAAGCAGTCCCTCAAACAAACCCGCTTCTCGCTTTTCGCTTCACTCTGATCAGCTGAATTCTCGACGCTGTCAGCTCCTTCTCTTTCCTCTTCTTTGATCGTATACAAAAGCCTAGACTGTCCGTACACCGCCTGCCACTTCGCCAACTCGTCCTCATCTTCCTCCGCGGCGGCTGCCTCCGAATCCGCTGCCGTGGCAGCCTCCGTTGGAGTCGTTGAAACAACCCCAGGCGAGGGTTCCACACGGGCTGGCTGGTTTTTCCAGCAGAAGAAGTAGAGAAGTTCCTTAGAAGGAGCAGCATAAAAAGGTGAATTCGAAAACTCCGAGTCAACGAAATGGGTGCTGCCACTTACGACGATGCGTTGACGGAAGCTTCGTTTTCGCCAAAAGACGTAAATCAGCTCAATAAGAAGAGCTAAAAGACATGTTGCGAAGATAACGATGAGAACTATTCCAAGCTTGGTTGAAGCATTCATGGCGAGTCTTTCTTTTTTGATATTCTCCACTGTTTTAGCTGATGTTAAAAATAAACAAAGAGTCAGTCAACTGAGGATTTGTGGGGAGAGAAAAGAGAGGAAAAAAAGAAGGGTTTTTGTGTTTTTTTTTTTCTCTTTTTTGCGAGAAAAATGATAGAGGTTTTTTCTCGGAAAATGTAGGGGAGAAAGAGAGGAAAAGAAAGCGAAAGTCGATGATGACTTGGAAGTAGACACAAGAGTGTCGTGGACTGTTTTTGTTTTAAAGATTTTGAATTAGTTAGGCGGATTAGAAGTTACTTTCCTGTGTACGTCCAAACTGTATTATATATACTGTTTTACCATATATTTTCTTAACCAAATATACTCCATATATTATCTTAGCCATTGAAACTATAATCTATTAATTATCATAGTTTTACCATAGCTTTTTATGAAGATTTTATAATGTAGGATTTGGATTGACTTTTTGTTTGTTTTTCTTATTGAAAATTAGAATTTGTTGTTTTTTTAATAATCAATACATACATGTTAGAAATATAATAAACAAAGGATTTCAATTTTTGAAATGAGTAAAGTGATTTAATGAAATTATAATTTTTATCTATATGTTAGTCTTATTATTATCAATTTGTTAGTATAATTGAAAATTATAATCAACAAAAATTAATTAAAATGTTAATTCTAAAATATGTATTAATATTTTTTGTTTAATGCATTCAAATTTTTTTCTAAAATAATAATTATACATTAAATATAGAGTTGCATATTGTATAAATGAGTGAAACCATCAAATGGATATTAACTGAAATTTACATTAATTATATCAAAATTTTCACAAATTCAATAAGTATTATATTAACCAAAGTTTATTACTTTTAAGGTTAATATAAAACTAAAACTCTAAAGATAACAAATTCAATGTAAACTTTAACTTTTTTATTAATTAAATAATTTCATTACTTAATAAGAGTATTTCAGTGAAATTAGAATTCTTATTTGTAAATTAGACTATTAATTGGTTTTTTTTTAGCATTCGTTAAAAAAAAAAAACTATATTTAAATCTAAGTTTTTAATCATACGTGGAGAATGCATCTTAAAATTGATCTAGAAATCTTTAATATTTTTTTAGCCATCATTTTTGTATTACTAATTGCACTTATTATCCATCATGATTCAAACTTTTACATAGTGTTTTAATGAAGCATCTCTTTTACATGGTGTTTTAATGAAGCATCTCATGAAAATGTTCAAGGATTCATCATATTAATACCCATATATTCAACCATTGTAATTGATTTGAACCATGACAATTACAATTGATTGTTTTAATTTATTTGCTCTTTAACTCAATGAATTCCAAATATGAAAATTTACGATTATTGCCTTATGGGAGAGTTGGGGGCTTTAATTATTTGAAAGATGACATGTAATTATATTTTTATTTATTTAGTTTTTTTTAAATTGTAATTCAAAGATAAAGAAAATGATTATAAGAATTAAATTTTAAAATTTACACCTCTCTATTAATATATTTTAAGAATAATTGAATTAATATTGAAATTCATTTAATTAATTTTTTCACCACCTACTAATTAGTGACATTGAATAATAATTTTTCCTTATTTAAAGGCATCCAAACAACAAATACAGAATAAAAAAGTCATTGAACTTCATCATCTTATTTAAATAAAATTTTATATTTTTATTGCATTTAAATAAGTCATTGACTTTTAATTTACATCCAAATAAATTTTTAAAATTTAATTTATATCTAAATAAGAACTTAATTTTTAACTTATACTTAAATAAACTCTTAACATAAATTAAGTTTTTAGTTAAAATAAAGATTTATTTGAATACAAATAAAAAAATAAAACTTTTTTAATGTAATAAAAATATAAAAATTTATTTACAAATAAAATTATTATTGATTTTTTTAATATTTTAGTAAAACAATTACTTATTTAACATCATTGAATTCGTAGTCAAAAACGCATCATTTGGTCGATCACAATTGAGCTAAATGGGAGATGAAGAAGGACCCACGAGGAAAGTTAAGGGTCTCAATCGAGTTGGTGAAGTGCAGTGCCCATATGGACCGGGCTTGTTCTCTTGAATATTTTGTTCTCTGTTTCATATACTTTTACAAATAGGTCTTGTGTTCAGGATGACCATCAACCTGGGCCTATATATTAATGTGGTGGCTGGTTGTCTATGGGATTCTCTTATGACTATTCAAAATTAATTTGAATCTTCCTAACTCAAGGTTATATGAACCACAAAATAAGTTTAAGGTAAGTCAATTGTCTCACTACCATATTTGAAATTTCTTTAAATTATTGTATCGAGAACAATTCCTACTTAATCCAATGATCTTATTTTTTGATACATAAGAGAGATATAAAAAGAAAATTAAAAATTTAAATCTAAAATCTTAATGTTGCGCAAAAAAAAGGCGATCGTTAAATCAAGTTTATATTTTTTTATTCAATTATCTTTATCCTTTCAGAGTTAAAAGCATGGGTTTACTATTTTTTAAACTCCCAAAGTCTTATTCAATTGTATTTATTTTATAAACATATAATTTTTTTGTCATAAAAAGTTTAAAAATAAAAAGATTACTTTATTTTTAAAGTTAAGACAAATCGTCGATTCAATTAGAATTTATGGATTACAAATTTCTTTATTTATAAATCATCTACTAACAAAAACTCATGAAAAAATTTAAATTTAAATATTAATATAGCCAACATTCGTCTTTTATTATTTTTGTCATTTCTCGTTGGCTATTCAATTTTATTTGCGTATAAAAAAGAATAAGAATTTCATATTGGATGGACCTTAGAAGGTATTAATCATCATTGGATAAGTTGTTTAAACTTTCCAGACTAGAAGCCCAAAATGCAGCTTATCATGGACTGGACTTGTTATGAAATGAACTACAATCGGCAAATGGACTGTGCATGGTGGGTAAGGCCATTATAAAATAAGAGGAAACTTGGTATCAAGAAATATGGACCAGTTTTTCAAAATTATTGTTGATATTTTACATTGAAGGCTCATATTTTCATTCAGAAAGTGTAGTATAGCCATGATAATTAATTAAGCAGAGCATAAAACACAAAGTGAAAGGGGGGTATAGCTGAAAATCCTCTCTCTCACACACTCAAAAATGCTTTGGGAAAACGACCCAACAATCATCAAAAGCAGCATCATCCATCCATTTTTTTGCTGATGTCCAAAATCTAATCATCACTTGCATTCTTGGTGGGGGGGGGGGGGGGGTTTGTTGATTTATTCGCGTGTATGCTCTCCCAAAATTCTCTTTTTGACCAAAAGAAAAGTTGTAAGAAGGAAAAAAAACACCCCAACTAAACTATAAAGAAAGCTAAAACCATAACAGAAAACAGCAGCACATGAAGTACTCCTTGGATCCCTCACTCTCATCACTTTCAAATGATAAAAACCATAAAAGCAACAGCTTGCTCTCCCCCAAAAAGAGAGAAAAAGAAGTAATGAATACAAATAACTGGGGATGAGATGGAAGAGAATATCAATCTATAGATGACTAGGGGACTTTAGGGGATCCCAGATTTCCCTTACTTTCATGCAATGCAAGAATTCACTCATAACAGTTTAAAACAAAGAGAAAAGGGAAATGAGGACAGTGACCCTTATGGAAAGACCCATTTGTTAGCTACCCTTTTCTTAAAGTCAGCAAAAGGGGGTTAAGGTGTGTGGAAACTTTGTCTCCATGCTTATATTGTCTTTTGTAGATGCCAACAATCAACAACCCTTCCCTTTTTTTTTTTTGGGGGGGGGGGGGGGGGGGTGGGGGGTTTCTTTAGAGAGGGAGAGGCCTCTCCTCTTGTCTTGTTTGTTCAAAAAACCTGGAATTCGGTGCAAGTGACTGCAATCCCCATTGTTTCAATCTTGTCTGTTGAAAAACGCTTTCAAAGTATTAATTTACTATGCTTTCTTTTCCTTCACTACACCCTATGTAGACCATCACATTCATTTGAGCCAATCCAATTAATTTCAAAAGACAGAAACAAAAACAATTTCTTTCCCTTTACTTTGTTTTCGAATTAAAAGTTGGTTTCTATTCCCAAGTCATGTATACTTGTGTTTAGGCCTTAGCCCCATCACTTTTAAGGCTTAAAACCTTCCTTTATAGATAATCATTTGTTTCATAATTAACATCCAAGGTTAACAAGAAATTACAAAGGGTCATTTTGATTATAAATGGCATATATACAATGGACAGGAGACACCTGGCATTTCAACTTTGTTGTCACTAGCTGTCTCAAGAACTTTATCTTTTCCCTTCTATAGACTTAAAACACTTCATACCAAAATTCACCATTAATTAAAAGGTAACATCCCACCCTCCTCTGGCTCACTAACCAAATTTATTAATTAATATTAAATTGTGATCAAACTGGTGTAATCCAAAGTAATTAACATCTAGGGTTAGCCCATGACACTAAATTAAAATTTGTTTGGCTCAGGGTGCCAAAAGAATATTTTATGTTAGGCCAAAGCCCAAATCAATCATTCATCTTGCTCGAAATCAAACAATAAATTATTCTCACTAAAGAAAGTCATTATTAATCAATAATCCAAGCAAGAAATGAAATCAAATAATAAATCATTCTCACAAGAGATACTAGCTTAATGTGATTTGACACTTAATTTTTTATATTCATGATGAAAGAAAAAATTCTTTAAAAATTTACAAACACATCAATCAAACAAATCATCAACATTCAAACACTTGCAATTAATCCAATCTAACAAACAAATCAACCCAAACACAAATTAACCTTAAATTAATCTATGAGCACTATTGCTCAGTCTCTAGTACCTCCAAACCAAACATATTCCCAATATTTTAAATACCTTTCGTCCAATTAAAAAAACATATGTTTAATACCTTTGGAAACAATAATTGTATAATTTATAAACTTATTATTATCTTTTATATGTGTGAAATTCA